TTCAGGACTCAAACAACAAGCCCCGTACATGTACCCTTCCTTAAGAGTTGGCAAAGATGAATTCAATCGAGTCAAACAATTTAAATATTTAGGTTCTGTTTTGACTGAAAAAAATGAAACTGATAAGGAAGTGGCAGCAAGAATCCAATCGGGAAACAAATGTCTACGGACTCATAAGGATACTAGGAGCCCGACACTGGGGTAAGATTGCGCACATGGTGGGATAAAAGGGCGCAAGCAAAAGTCTTTATTTTAAATTAATCTTTTTACGGAAAATAAATTCTTAAATATATATTTTACCAATTGTAATCACTATAATTTTTTAAAAATGTCTATTTTAATTATATTTGCTTATAAAATTAATAATAAGTGAAGACTTTTTAAGACATATTATATAATTATATTTATATTAAAAATGATAACATGTTACAACATAACACAAATAAAAACTATTGAACAATTTATTGAACTTTGTTTAATCATAGTATAACAAAAACAACAAAATAAACAAATTTAACAAGTAGATAGGTACTGCAGTAATAGATCTAACCAAACAAAAATTATCAATATTTCAGTTCATGCATTTTAAAACTGAATAAAATAAATAGGTAATATCTTATGTAGTTTCTAAAAATATACATAAGTATTTAGAATATTTAGATGCTCTAATTGTAAATAATATGAATTTTATAATAACTATGTAGATGTCAACATCATATGCTGAAATGCGCACTTTTACCCCAAATCGAATACGCCATTTTATCCCAATATACTTTTCATTGTTGAAAAAATTGTATAAAAATAAGCATTCGTGTTATTAGAACATAATACATGATAAATAATAGCCAATATAGTGTAGAAATGGTAAAAAAAAAGATTCCTATATAAATAACTTTTCCAGGGTGAATAACTAATTTTATTCTATCTAAATATTACATTAAAAAGTAAAAAATTAAAACTTATCTCGTTTCGAGCTGTTGTTCAAGTAAATCTCATTTTTTTTTGTGTTACTGATAAACATAGCTGGTATATTGATAGACACTTAACAGTATATCCATAATTAAAAATCTTAATAATTTATTTATAATAGTTTATCTTACCCCATGCGTCATCTTACCACAGGTTACTCTATAGCTCATGTTCCTGTTATAATAATAACATATTATAATGATAGACTAGTAATTTATATTCTTAATTATTTTTAATTACATTTTTTAAATAATTCAATGTATATTGAAAAAAATACGAGCTAATGAAGGGCGAATTCCCTTTCCCTCCCTAAAATACGCCCTTGATCGACACACGTAACTGCTTCATTGGAAAATAAATTTCGCGCCGCCACTGGTGATGAGTGACGACGGCGAATGGCAGGGGCTGTGTGTAGTGCATCAGGATACATAACTACACCAATAAAACATATAATATATATTATACAAGCTGACCCATGCCCACTACATTGGGAGTCAAACGTTTTTACTTGTGATGAAATTAGTACAGAATGTTTAAGATTTCTTTTATATTATATTACTGACCCGACAAAGCTTTGCTATTGCTATATTTTTATAGGTATATTTGACCCGGTGTACATTTTATCACCTACAATTTATCCTTCTTTTATATAGTGTATATAGCTGTACCACGTAAAAATTGTTGTACGGGTTATATTGTTCTGTTTTAATTATTATTGTATATTTTTTTTTAATTTTAGACATTTTTTTTAAATAGCATAGTAATCTCATAAGGTGATAATACAACATACTATAATTGGCATACATTTTACGCTTGAGGAGATTAATAAAGTATTAAGTAAAACCAAATTTAATAAGGCAGCTAGATTTAATGAGGTATACCTTAAATTCATTAAACACGCTGGTCCGTGAGTGACTAGCTAGATTCTACAGTGACATATTAGACACAGCAAACATCCCAAAACAATTCAATATAACTAAGGTAGGTAATTGCACTTCTAAAGCCGGGAAAGTTAGGAACTGAGGCTGCAGATTATCACCATTAATAGTAGTAGGATAGTGGCGTTCTTAGAAGGAATCCTTGCAAATCGACGTTTTTAAGTTTACTTGGGTAACAAAGGGATCAAGTGGAGGACAGTGAATAATGGGCTTCCTTGAGGATTATTCCTAGCCCCAACACTGTTCAATTTATACATGAACCATATCCCAATAACAGGCTAAACTTCCGATTTGTGGATGACATAGCAATAGCGTTCCAAAGAAAAGATTTTAAAGATTGTAGTGCGTTTTTAATCAGTGACCTAAGTCAATGAACACCCATTTTCGCAATCGGCACTTAGAGCCAAATCCTAGGAAAACAGAGGTCTGTACATTTCACCTCAACAACAGGCAAGTAAATTACCAACTTGAGATTGAATTTGATGGAATAAGTGTAAAACATAATTCTCTCCCTAAATATTTGGTATAATGCTAGAACGCTCGCTTACATTTAATGAGCAATTTAAGTAGCCTCAGTAAAAATAAATATATATTATGTGATTACACCATCTACAACCGTAGTGCATACACTACCAGGGAGGGATAGGCCCATAGGAAAAAAGGGATTTTCCCTGTGGGCCCTCACCCTATATTATGTCGGTGGCCCCCCCCGATACCATTAATTTTTTCATGGAAATTTATTTTATTCTTTTTATAATTAAATTATTTAAATTAAATTAGGATGAGTAAATATAATACATTTTTTAAAAGCAATTTTTTTTTTCATTTTGGTGGCCCCATTAAAATATTTCCCTGTAACAAAAAAAAACTACCTATCCACCCAGTGGCATACATTCAATCTTGCTCTGAGGGGGAGGGTTAACAAAAATAATCGTTATCTTTTTTTTTTCATCGCACAGATAAATAAGATAAATAACTGCTATAAATAGATATTATTTTATAAAACTTTTTTACCAATTTGCAGTTTACTTTTACATTACAGTAAATTTATAGCTATTGGAATATAAAAACAACATATAGTTAACAAAACTTTTCAAACACCTATCAATATAATTATTTAATTATCACAATATTTGTATAGTTGTATATTTTAAGTTCAAAGCGTAATAATGAAACTACGAATATATTACACGTCATCAATAATAAAACAATTTTCTTCTTTTTTTTCTTTGGCCCGGGAGGGGGGTTTGAACCAGGGACCCCCCGTATGTACGCTTCTGTATCCACCTCTGCACACTACATAGTAAACACCTTAGATCATAAGGTAAACACCATATTCCTTCGCTCAGTCTCTTTATATATTTTCTTAATATTTATTGATATTAGAGTTATACATTTATAGGTTAAATGTATTGTAATTTTTAAACTTGTTCTAAGTTTTTGTTTTATCTTATTTTATCTTTCTTTGTAAAACTGTGTTGTGAACTAAACTAACTGTTTACACCTTATATATTCTTAATAGATATATAATTATTTTGTTGCTATCATAAGAGAACTTATAATGAAATGTATTTAATATTTTACTGTACAATTGACTACTAGAATAATTTTTTAATTATTTTCTAAAAATATAGTGTATCTTAAAAGTTAAAATATAGGTAATAAACTAAATTTTTGATTAATCGCTGGATAAAAAAAAAAATCAAATAATGAATTAAATATTGCAGAAAATTAAATAAAACTTATATGGTAGATGATAGGCCAGAAATTATATTTTTTTTTTGTTTAAAATAAACAACTGTTTTTTTACATTGTTTAAATCAAATGTTATAAACGATTTAAGCAAAACCACATTTGATTAATTTAAATGATTAAAATATGTTTTAAACATTTCAACTCCGATTTATAACCCAGCAATTCCCCCTTTCTGGCTACGCCGCCGCATTTATAATTATAATTGTAAATTATTAAAAACAAGTAATATTTAGGTAGATTACTAATTAGTAATCTGCCTATTCAATCCTGATATAATTATATTTTACTTTACACGCAACTGATTTATGGTAATTCTGAGTACGGTAGATATGATTTGTTTATTAATCCCTAATCATAATATATTACGGGTTGGTTTTTTTATCATAAGTATATTGACATTTAATATTAAACTATTAATCTCAATAGTTAGATATAGTTCATAATTATAGAAAAACATGTTAATTAATGCAAAGTATGATAAAACAATAAAATTTAAAAAACTTGTAATAAACGTATAGCAATTAGATAAAGATAAATATAATAGGTTATTATTTAACAATACATGTAATACTTAAATTAAAATAAATTAATGATGTTTCAATTCTTGAAAAATATTATACATATTTATGATTGGAGGAAATAACATATGTACAGGATAGATTACAGAAAGTGGCATTAAACGTAGGTTTAGAAAAATTATCTTTGTTTGAAGGAGTATGATAAATTCTCATCAGATTGGACGATTAAGAAATATAAGTTGTCTGTATCTTGGGTAATTTTTATATTTGACTGGGTGGCTAATGTAGCATAGTGTATAACAAACTGAACAGTGGAAATTTAGTGCAGGAGCCCGAGGGGTGGACTTGAGTCGTGTTAACAGGGGATGTTCCTGGAACTGAGTTAGGCAAACTTTTTTGAGGATGTAGTACTTTAATTACTATTTTGGTATAAAGTAGAAATTTAACTTTGAATATTTTTGGTAGTTTTTTTTTTTTAAATCAACAAATAATAATGGTAGGTAGGGGTATTTTATCAAAATATTGATTGAAGTTATGTTTATCATTGTATTTAAGTATTTAGGTTGGACTGTTATACTATAATTATAGTTCATGGTTCACTTTATCAATAGAACAACAAATGTTCAAACATCGAATATTATAAAACAATTTGTTGTAAGACGTTAAGTTTCATCTATGTTATTTATTTATTATTTATTTACTGAACAATATTATGTAACATATTCATCAAATTGACGATAAGACATTTAATACCTACAGATAATACATTTTGACTCTTGAAAACTTTAATTTATTAGATTATTTTTTGGTTATTTCCTACGAGTTTACGGCCAATTTAAGATTTAATGACAATCGACTTATTAATATATTTTTAATATAAGACTATAAGCAATACTATAGAATATAATACTATAATAATATGATTTATTTTAGTTTAAAGTATATTATGTTGTTAGTTATTGTTGTAAATGAGTGCATAACTAAAACTGTAAATGATGATAACTTACAGTTGAAATTTGTTTTTATTGTAAGTATATTAATTATTTTTTTACGTTTTTTTTTACCTAAAATTATGATTTAACTCAACAGCAAATTTTTATGGTTGACTAATATAGTAGGTATTTATTATGGGCGCCTGCAGGGGAGGCAAAGGGGCCATTGCCTCTACTGGGAATTTTTGTTTCAAAACTATTGTTAATTTAATACCATGCATATTAATTATAACATAATTTTATTGAGATCCATTTATGAAGTTTAGTAAAATTTATCATATTTTTAGATATTCTAAAATATATAATCTTGAACATATTTATTTGTTTACAATGTTTACACAAGACTGCATATCGCTTAAGACTATACATTATCCCGAGTACCGATTTCTATGGTATTAGATTTTGTTCTCATATATTTTTAAATACACGTTGTGACCCTTCGAATTTTAATCTTGCCCCGGGTAGGATTTTATTCTGCGGGCACACTTGGTATTTACCTAAAAATAATACACCAAATTAACAAAATAGTTAAAATAGACCTATTTTTAATAACTATTTTGAATACTAACTAAATTCTTTTAAATATTTATAAATACTTACTGGTAAAAATAGTTTTAGTTATACAATTGTTCAGTTACATTTCTTAAATATGATTAATATTAAATATTCTACAAATATGATATTTTATAATATTTAAAATTATAGAGTAAAACAAATAAAGTAAATAGTATATATAGTATATAGTAATGGTATATTTTAAATTAATTTTTTTATTTTTACTATAATAATAATAATAATAATAATAATAATTTATACAATAATATTTATATATTTATTGACATTAAGGTTTTGTCAGTCACTACTGTCATAAAATCATAATTGTATTTTAAATAGAATAGTTGTAAAAAAAAAAATGATTAAAGCAATAGTAACTCCAATTCAATAATACTACCAATTAATAATTAAATACTTGAATACTATATACTAAAAAATAATTTGGCTTTTAACACTATTTAAGTTAGATGATTTCAGGACAATTAATAGTATTAATCTTAGGTTACCCTCGAATTAATAAGCCTTTTAAAAGAAAATTAGTATTACTTAATTGTATTCAGTAGTGTAGCTATATAATGTATGGTTTAGATTTCTAGAAAATAAATGTTAATATAAGGTTCATATTGGAACAAATGTATTAATATTAATATTTTTATGATGACTAAAATGGAGTGCAAAATCCACACAAGTTCTATATTATATAAATATAAAATTAAAACACCACCCTCTGAAAAAATCCATATTATGCATCTGATATTATATTTAACATTGGCAAAACTTTGGGTAAGTCAAATGTCGAAAAAATAAATCGGTTTCATATTTTAAAATATTTTTATCCATCTTTGTTTTATATTTAATCCTAAATTTTGTAAAAGATATGAAATAACTAAGAATTTAATATTATTAAATATATTTTGAGCACACATATGAATACCAAATATTTTTATTAATATTATGAAATTCTAGTTTGAATTATAAAATAATAATTGGTTTTGTGTTATCTTATATAGTTGATGAGACACATGAATCGAGCACCATTAATTCGATACAAAAACAACACTAACAACATAGTTTGGGCTCATGGTCTGGGTGAATTGACTGATCAGGGTATATGGAACTCATACCGTGTAGGCCAAGCATTACGTGAACGTTACCTTGGATTTTTGCATCCATTGCAGCGGTACACACCCAGTGAGATTGATGTATCTACAACAGAAGTAGATCGTTGTTACCAAACTGCTGGGTACCTATTAGCAGGTATGTACCCACCTAATGAAGAGCAGACATGGAACAAAGACCTAAAATGGCAACCTATACCAATAAAGACGAGTTTATCAAAAGACCATCAAAAAGTAAGTGTTAATACTTATAATATATTTTTATGTTATTATGATGTTTGTTAATAGTGTTACCATAATTAAAATTTAATAATAATCAGACAAAATTGTATATATGTATTTTAGGATTTCCTGAATTATCTATTTTTAAAATAATGGAACAATAATGTACATATAATTATATTATGATATATAGTAAAATGCAACATTTACAAATAACTAGTAATTTGTGTTATATTATATGTATTATTTATACATCATACTTATATTGTTATAAATGTTGATGTGTTTGTAATAACAATAAGATGATATTTATATTAAGAGTAATAATATTGATTAAATAAACACATGTTTAATAATCAATAATAATACATTTTTAATACACATATAGCATAGAAAGTAGTGACACAAAACTTTGTAAGGTAGAAATTAAATATACTTCATTAAAAAACTTGTATAAAATCATTAATATGTGCTTTAGTGTTGTATATCACACTAATCTAGTGAAATTTTTTTCTTTTGAAGGATTTTAAAAATAATACATTTCAAATAAAATCAAATACATATTATATACTTTTTTTTTAGGTGTTTTTCTCAATAAAACAATAAAATAAATATTTAACAGTATTAATACAAATTATTGTATATAATTGCATTACAAAAATTAAATTTCCAAGATCTTCCCTAAAAATATCACTGAATTTCATATAAAAATGAACATACAAGAACATAGTCTAATTAAATACTATATTTCAAATAATAATTATCCATTTTATGCTTAAATTGTTATAATTTATAAATTTAAATATTACAAATAAGTATGAGTTTCATAAATGTATTAATACTTACAACTATACTTAAATTCATAGGAGTACAAGCATAACAGAATTTTTTTAAATTGCTTTCAGATTAAATAATATATTTAAATGATAAATGTACATATCTTAAACTCAAAAATTACAATGAATTTTCAATAATACTTTTCAATATTGTAATAAATAGTTTTTATTTAACTTTAAAACAAGATAAAACGTTAGTTTAGTAATGATCCAAGGCTATGTCCAAAATATGCTATGGAATTACATGAAAAATGTGAAAATATAATGAAAACAGAAAATGTCAAAACATTTATTAGTTATTTGAAGAATCACACATCCAACCCGTTAACTACAACTTTTGAAGTATTGAAATTAGTAGACGCTATTTACACAGAAGTAAGTAGTTATTTTATATAAATATAAAAATTTGTATTTATAATTAATTATCAAACACATACATACAACACAATATATTAACATAATTTAAAACTTTGAATGGAATATTTATTTAATAAAATTCTTAATGTAGCGCATGGCAAACTATTCAATTCCTAATTGGGCAATGGAACGATATCAAGATTTTGAGAATTTTTTATTGCTTTGTATGACTGTATTAGTTGAAACCAATCAAATGAAACGTTTATATTCAGGTATTTACATACATTTTTTTTGTATGTTTTAATAATATTAATATAAATATATTTTTAATAGGTGAAATGTTGAATGATGTTTTACAACGGATGGAAGCATCAATAAAAAAGTCCTCAGAAGCAAAAAAAATATATTTACACATAGGACATGATTCAACCATAGTTCCTTTTCTTAAGACACTAAATATAGAAAATATAACATATCCATTTTACGGGGCTTCTGTTATAATGGAGTTATATGCAACAGCTGCAAATGAAACTATTCTTAAGGTAAAAAATAATAGCATTTTTAGTAAATCACTTAATGTTTATTTATTTATTTTAAAACAAAAATAGCTATTATACAACAGAGACTATGAATGGAAAGATTCGAAAATTGAGTTAATTGAATTACCAGGTTGTCCACAGCCATGTCGACTAGAAGATTGGCGCACACTTACACAACAAATGATACCTCGTAACTTAAGTGATGAGTGTAAAAATTAATAATATTAAATATGAAACCACTTACATTTAAATTGGAATCTGTAATTTTAATTTAAATTTAATATATTCAGTCGGTCTTAGAGATTGCTTCCAATCTTTCCAATAATTGAGGATGAGTATGATGCCAAGCCGAGTAAAGAGAATCATAAACTGGAAATCCTAAGTTATCATTATGTAACCTGATTAATCCACTTTCAAGTTCTTTTGCTTTCCCAAGTTTTTTGGCAAATGCATCTGCTTGAAATTCAAGTTGTCTACTTAGTGTGGTCATAGCAAAAGATATAACAGTATTATACGGAGAAAACACATATTGAAATATAATGGCTAGACCGATGATAACAGGATGTGTAGATTCATAAAATCCAAATGCTCGATATAACATTGAATTGTCATACAACCATCCAAAAACAAATAACATGACAAATAAATTGACCTGGATAAAAGTATAAAAATAAAAAATTAAAAGAAATTATTATGATTAAGATAAAAATAATGAATTTTACCTGAGATATTATAATATAAAATAATACATGATTTAGTTTCCAGTGACCAAGTTCATGTCCTAAGATTGCCAATATTTCATCATCATTCATTCCTTTTCCTTTTTCTTTAATCTGATCAACATCAGTATTTTCATCATTTTCTTCAATTTTTTTATCAGGTGTCACTTTGCTATCTTTCAATAATGTATCATATAAGACAATTCGTTTGCTATTGAAAAATCCATAAAAGTAAGCATTGCTATGAGCTGACCGCTTTGATCCTAAAATTAATGATTTAATTAGTAATCAACCAATTTCACTTTTAAAAATTAAAAATAAATTATATAGTTATAAAAATATTTTACCTTCTACAATATATATTTTGAATAAAGGAAAGTTTACTTGTTTAGCAAGCTCTTCAATTTTAGTTTTCAATGGACCATCAGATAATGCTGTATATTTATCAAATAATGGTGCGATAAATTCTGGGTATATTGTCATAATGAATAATGAAGTTACAATAGAAAATACCCACAACCAAATAAAGAAAAAACGTCCACCCCATTTAACAATGCTAATTGCTGCTGCAGTAATTGGCAAAGCTATTACTTGAACCAATAAAAAATTCTTGATTTTGTCTTTAATAAAAAAACTTAAATTCTAAATTAAAAATTTTAAATATTAGATTTTTATAAATTAAGTAAATAATTAATTATAATTTAAAAAGTTACTTGTTTATTAAAACCATGTTTTTCTTCAATAATAAAGGTGTTATATGCTGAGATTGGCAAAGACATCAGTGTACCCATCGTATTCATAAACAAAATAAAGACACAGCTAATCATGATTTCACTCTCTTTATATCTAGTATCTATCAAGCAATATTTGCTAAGATTCCAGAATAAAGTAAATCCATTCAAACATATGAACCCCTAAACATTTTAAGTAAGAAATTATTATTGTGACATTTTAAGTTATTGATTGAAACTATATTATTCCTTGTTACACAAAATTTACATTATAACATTTTAGTTTATGAATATTACAATTTCTTTACATCAATAAAAATTTAACTAATTTTAATATAATTTTGAAAATAATAATAAACTTAAAATGTTATATATTTTATAAATAAATAACGTTTATGAGTAATATATGTAATTAAGAGGATGTTAGCGTTGAAGTATAACATATAATACAATCAAAAGATTTCGTTATATGCCATATTTTAGTGGTGACTGCTTGTAACCACTCCCATTACTTCCACAACGTAAGAACACATAATGTTCACAGGAGAGACAATATTATTTCAGACAGAATAAAACGATAAATATAAAGAAAAAATAAAATAATATGAATGGTAATAATCATTCTATATAAGCTATGAATTGTTGAAGCTGAGAGAAAATAACATTTAATATAGTATTATTTAATAATAAAACACAATAATATTGTACACTATATCATTATATCATGATTTTCTAATCAGCATCGTCATATATAATAATAATATATCTTTGTATTAGCTAATAAATACTTAAATCAAAAAAGAATATACTTATTTTTGTTTCAATATGAACATTACATTATAAGGATTTCAATCTGGCAACCCTAAATAAAAAAGGTATATTTTGATAAGTATAGATGGACATATAAAACAAAAATCAATAATGGATTTATGATACTTTCTATGTACATTTATTATTTTATGCTTTAGACACCTACAAGAAATAACAGTAATTGTTAAAAATACAATTTAACAGAACTTCAATAATATATCAAGTAAGGTAAGATAATTCTTTAAGTGAAATATAAAAAAAATAAATATATATAATATAGGCCATAGCAAATTTACACATGTAAGACAATTATTAAACAATATAATCGAAATAAGAGATAGGGGTCTAATTAAACTCCAATATATGTTGTAAAAAATAATAAGGCAATGTAAATTGGTTTTCAATTCTATCTAACATTTAGAAATAATAAATCTTCATTGAATACTCTCTATAAATATTTATAAATTAATTAAGCTGAAAATATCAATTATAAAAAAAATTATACTTAAAACAACTTATATAGATACAATATGTAATAATTATTTTAAAAATATTTTTACTTACAGTTGAAAATATCATATTAAACCATTCTTCAGCTATGCTAAAACTATTTTTATCAATACCATAAGATTTTGCCTTACGGAATGTTTCTTCATCTAATGTACTAATTAATTTTGAAGGTATTTTTTCTGTTGTTTTATATACTCTTCTCTGAAAAAATAAATTAATTTAATAAAATAATTATTGTTTAATATTTATAAATAAAGATTTAAATTTGCATTTCACTTCATTTTATTTTCCTAGTGTTGATATTAAGAATATAAATTATATTATTTTATTTTATTTACAAGAAGCAATGTAATTTATTTTTCTATATCTATGATTCACATATGAACTTCTCAATAATAAAACTATTATACTCAATACTATACCTGTCTTAGTGTTAAGTATTGTTCCCATAGAAACTCAATCCAAGAAAAAGTTAAGACACCATAAAATACACAAAATTCAGGTATCATATTGAATTGATGAAATCAAAATATATTAGAAATGACAATATTAAAATGAGTATTATGAAATATTACTAAATATCAACATACACGGAGACATTAGAAAATGTTAATTGTAAATCGTAATTTGTCTAACAATTCAAATTAAGTTAAAGACTTAGATACGGATGAATACCGATAAAATTACTAACAAAAAAAAAAAAAACTAGCCGAAAAATAGATTACGAAAAATTATCAGCATCATTTCTAAAGAATTTAAAGTATTTTATATCTTAAATTCGACCACACTGTTCAAAAATTACATTTCATATTTGTGTATAATAACTATATACCTTAGTTCATGGCTGCCAATTGCCGATCCTTATAAAACAATGTCATGTCCATAAAGGAAAAAAGAACAGCACGATAAGGTTGTCAAAGGCAGCAGATAAGTTGTTGGGCTTTCCGTTTCCATTCGTTCTAATCTGTTGAGTAGTAAAAGTTATGTATTTTATGTTTGTATTCAATATTTTGAACCACAATCAGGGATAAATTTTATAGCATATTCCTGCAGTCATGAGTTCAAAATATAAGTTTATATGTATAGGTACTTACCTTATTTTTAAATACATTTTAAATGTACGACATAATTTTACTATTTCAGAAAAATGTTAAAATTTAATACTTCTACTAAATAAATATAGTTTATATATATGTAACAAATTAATATTGAAAAATATTACAGATTATAATATTGTTGTAAGCCGCTCGGTTATGTCTATAGGCTCGGATATTGCGACCGGTTTGGTTAATTTCGCCGATCACAAGTCACGTTTTGAGTTCGCACTTTTGGAAGTCAACGAAGAAGTTATTGATTCAAACAATTATTATAAGAACTAATACACTATTTTTTATTGAGTCGTTATTTAAAATATTAATACGCTTACAAGAAATGAATACACTCTTGCTTAGATGTTACACCACTGCCTCCTCGATAACGGTCATGTATGTACGTAAAAAATGGATAAAATGCATAGTCAACATTTATCCCCACATATTAATACATACATACTAAGGATACTAATAATAATTATAATCATAATTATAATAATATAATATCATAATATCATAATATCATAATTATAATATTATAATAATATAATATATAATATAATATAATATATTATATGTAATATAATATGGTGTACATAACAATATGACATAGTTTAGTTTATTCTGATTATTGTTCCAAGGTTTACGTTCCATACTGTACATAATAGTAGTTCAATTTCATCTCATGTAATTAATTTATTGCATTATTGCAAATATATAATAACTATACACATCTGTATAAGAATCTTAAATTGTGGTTATAGTAGGTAGGTACCCATTTTTTAATAATAATAATAATCGACAATGCACTGTTGAGATAGTGAAGGCATCGTTATATAGAATTTACAGTTATTAGGTTCGTTGCCAGTTTACGATAATTAATGATAATATAAAGTACCGAAAGGATCGATGAAACGAGTCATTTGAAATCGTTCCTTTTGTGAACTTGGAACACTGTTTAAGATATATATCTTAAATCACGACCGGGAACGAAAGGAACGTAATATCCCATCAATATTTAGTGGCTCCGAATGAAATTGAAACTACCAGTTCAAATAATTAGTTTTATCCACCCACCCCTTCTAATTTATCACCCATTGAAATGCCAAAACATTTTTTTTCAAACATCTTTAATAATTAAAGATTTTATATAATACCTATTTAATTATTAAATTTACTAATTTAAATAGAAAATACTTGTCAAGTAACATATATAAAAATTAATTTAAAGTTTTTAATGATCAATTTTGTTCTTTTTTAACATTCCAATTTTCTAGGCAGTTAAATTAAACTACCTGGAGTACGTATTCGGCGACACTACTACTAGTCTTGTCTATGCTGTGAATTCAATATAGGTATTTGGTAGGACATACGAATATTCATTTAATGATTCAATTATGCATAAGTGCAGAATAATATAACGGATTTCTAATATCAGTTATAAATAATGTACGATATTAAAATTCTATAGCGTTGGTGAACCTGTATCACAATGACGTCAATGGTGTGTTATAACCTGCTGCCTCCCTATGTTAGCTGACAGTATATAAGGTGGCATAGCACATGGAGTAGCTTGGGTGGTTATTTTGCTTGAAAATCCTTGTTTGCTGTTTTTTATAGTTTAGCTGCAGTTGTTACATTTATTTTCCTACTCTAAATATTTCTTGTGATTTACTTTTTTTGGAACTTTTATTCCATTCTAGCTGCTACACACTTCAAATATGTCTCTGTCACAATCGACTGTGGTGAGTACATCGTATGATCCGCCGTATTATTATTAAAATTAATCAACGGTATGTTAACCATATGTCATATATGTGTTGGATTGACAAGGGCGATGTTGAGATAATAATATTCTGATTCCGAATTACTTGAGCTAAACTAGTTATATTTTTAGTACAATGTGGAAGAGTATTTGATAGTATAGTTTAAATTGTGGTACTATGTGCTTAACTACTATTATCTGAAGGTTATTTTTGTAGGTCAATAAATTTAATTTTTTTGCTTATCGTGTTTCATAGAGGTGGTTTTGTTACTGGAACATTTTTAATATTTGCAATTGTGATTTTTTGATACAAGATTATCATTACAGTAAGTAAACTTATATCGCTCAAGAGGTTATTCAATTATCTTATGTAGTATTTTCCAAATGTTCATAAACTGACTATTAGTTCTTATGATACGAGTGTAAAAATTATTATTTTTTTAAAATTTTAATTATATTTGGCCTTTAAATTTTGAAGTTGCTAATTTAGAGCTAATTAGTTAAAGTAAAAGAAAATATAATGTATTAGATTAGATGTATGGTTATTAGTTAGTACTGACATAATTGAAATCTGTATTGTTATTAGTTTACTTATTAACTTATTAAATATATAATTTGTTGTTAATATTTATTATTATTTAAATAATTGTACATTCCTTTATTCTAATGTAATTTCGGGCAGTCATATAAATAAATAATCCAGCCATCTACTTAAGCCATAAAGTCAATAGTCCCTACAAGTAGCCTACAGGACCAAAACCTATAGTAGCATTTATTTTTTTAATTTTCTCTAGTCCAAGGTAAAGAGAATGGGTAAAAGTGTATCCTAGTCCTGTTCTTACTCTAACTGATTCTAAAACTCAATTTTCTGTTTTACTTTTATCCTTGTATAATTTAGGGTAGCTTTAATTGGATTCTGATTAAGAAATAGATTTTTGATTTTGATACGCTAAATAAGTGTTAAGCTTAAAATAGTTACTGTTTTAAAAAATAACATTGCTGTAACCATAAATATAACTTATTTATATCTTAATTTAAGTTTTAACTGAAGTATGAATTATTATATCTGTTTTCCATGAGTTTAGAATCTTATTTCATTATTAAAGTATTTCAATTAGCATTGAAGGTAATTGACTTAGTATTATTAGTATTTGATGAATATTGTTTTAATGAAATTATTCATAATTTATTTCAATAGTAAATCATTAATATATTTAAATTGGTTGTCAAAGTTTAATGAAGGAATAATTTAGAAAATATTAAATACGTTTTTTAATCAGGTCATAATATTACAAGTACAGCTTTAATGATTTGAATACCTTATATCTTAATTGAAGATATAGTTATTAATGTTAATAATTATTTCAGATGAAATTATACCAAACCGTTATTGAAGATACTATAAATAGCTCTCGAGAATTTTTTGCAGAAGAAGGTATTGATGATCAAATTTTAATGGAATTACGTCAGTCATGGGAGTCTAAAGTGATGGCTAGTAAAGCAGTGGATGCTCCACCCCCTCAAGAACTTACTCAGCTTCCTAAAACTGTTCCTTCAAATGTTGTTAAGCAAAATAAGAGCCAATATACTCCTACAATAGTCAGTGAGTGTACTATATTTATGTTTTGATATATATTTTCTTCTTAATATTGGATTAAAATTTGTTGTGGTTTTTGGTGTCAAAAAATTGATAATTATAAATTAAAATAATTATTTTTAGATAATAGCGTTCATCAATTAAAAATGGTGCAGCAACAGAAAATACAGCAACAGCAACAACAACCACAACAACAGCCACTATCACAACCAACACCACAATCACAATCTCAACAAAACTCTATAGTTTTACCTGCAGATTATGCAAATAAATATGTTCCGATTCAAATAACTTTACCAGCACAGGCTGGTTCCCAAGATTCTGGATCTAGAGTTCTTTCTATTCAAGTTCCAAGCTCTGCCATACAAGGTTCAATATTTATATAGTTTTGATTATTAAATACTTTTTGATTCATGTTGGAATGCTCTCTTCTACTTCTGGTAATGATTCTTTTTCTCAGCGGTATTGTCTTACTTAGAAAGTAGAATAACCAGGTGACCATGTTCAAATTGGCAATCAGACTTGATATGGTGTACTTACTTATCTAAGACTTGTCACCTTTCCTTTTATTACTAATTTTTAAGCTATTATTTTATTAAAATGTCAATTTTCTTTGTTTGTAGGTAATATGCTACAGAGTATACTTAGTGGTCCGGTAATAACTAACAGTATGGCACTGCCTACACATCTAGCTACATCACTTTTACAACAGCATGTGAATAGTGTTCTTTCTGCTCAGACAATTTCAGGTTGGATAATTAATTTTATTGAAATTTTTATTAAATAAAAGCTCATTAATTATTTTAAATATTTTGAAATTACTAGGTGTTCAAACTGCTCAACCAGAGTTTTTACAACAACAACAACTACAACAGCAGCAACAACAACAACAACAACAACAACAACAACAAAATAACCAACCATTTATTAGTGGGAATGGAACTGGTGGTGTTAAGAGAACTATTACTCAAATAGATGGAGCTAATGATTCTTCTACATCAGATGATGATGATGATGATGATGATGATGATGATATTGATGATGAAATTGGTGATAATGATGATGATGATGATGAAGATGAAGACAAAGAACAAAACAGTGCTTCTGATGCTGTAAGTGTTTGCTAAAAAAAATGAATTAATTTAAGAAGTTATGTTTTTAATATTTATTCTACAATTGCTTTTTTCCTTGATTTTTAATACTTTTTTAGTTTTTTCAGTCAACTTCACTTCGCTCTCACCATTTGGTCTTTTACTACTTTACTCATCTATTCTTATTATGTCCAAGTTTTCTGTCACAATCAATTACATCTCTTATAGGTCTTCCTTGGAGTATCTTCCCTATTAGATTACACTCAAATGCTGTTATATCTGTTTCACCCTCATTTTTTTACATTATGTGTTTTAGTATGTACCACCACTTTATTAAGTGATTTCTTAGTTTTCCATTGTAGCTAGTGACAGTTGTTTTTTATTTTTATTTTTTGTTATTCCTTATATTGCACTTTCCTGACCAATTTGACTATTATTTTAAAGTGGGTTACATATTGTTTTAATTTTTTTATTTTTAATTATTGTTGAAATTCTAGATTAAATTTAATGTAATCTGTGTTGATATTTAGTATACTGTATATTTTATATTTCCAGGAGCCTTTAAATTCTGGTGATGATGTGAGTGACGTTGATAATGGAGATTTGTTTGATACTGATAATGTTATTGTATGTCAATACGATAAGGTAAGTCGAAAGAAATGTTTTAAATAAAAATTATAAATACAAGTTACATCCAGAAAGTATGTTCTGTTTTTTATTTTTTTTTGCGCATTTGTGTTGTTATCTTAATTGTGATAATTTCGATTAGTTCATTAACATGTTTGGGACATTTCAAACCATTTTAAGATTAGTTGGTGTACTTATGTCACATTTCAAGTGTTTTAAAATGGACCATCTTTGGTTAATGATGATGTTTTGGTACATGAAGTTGAGAAAAAAATTCATGAAAACATAAATTTCATCCTACAGTCCAGATTTGGCACCTAGTGATTTTCATATTTTTTTTACATATGAAATCACATTTTACATATGAATGGGTGACCAGAACTTTAACGAAGATAATGACATGGTTACAATTGCAGGCGGCATCTTTTTATGTGGAAGGAATTTAAAAACTAGTAGCCTAATATGATAAGCGCTTAAAAAGTGGTAGTAACTATGTTGAATAATAGTGCAGTACATATACTTTATATGTAAATACAATTTCTTTTTAAATTCAGGCTTACATTTTTTTATTGCCCTACAGAGTTTACTTTCTGGACATACCTCGTAGTTATCAAAGGTTTTAAATATTTTACTATTTAAAATTTATAAATCTTTTACATCTTATTATTAATTTATGTAGTTTAAGTCTAAGTCACCAACATTTATTTTTATTTTTATCTAATTTTTTTTTTTTTTTATCGTAGACTGAAAATCATGTAAAAACTTATTTTTTTATAGATTACTCGAAGCAGGAATAAATGGAAGCTTTATTTCAAGGATGGTATTATGAGTTTAAATGGTTATGATTACGTTTTTCAAAAAGCAACTGGCGATGCTGAGTGGTAATAAGGGTACATATGTGTTGTAATTATAATAATGTTAACTATTGTTAATTTTGATAATGTTTAATTACTTGTCTTAAATTAATTATTTTTTTCAATTTTTTTTTAATGTACAAAATTACTAAATAAATTTTAAGTTTTTCCCAAATTTTATTATTTTTAATCAATGAATATTTTAATTTTATATCATGTGATGGTATTATTATTTCAACTTAAGCTTCCCACCACTTTAAATAGGTATGCTATATGTCTATATGTTACATAATTATGTTATTAGATTCACTTGAAATGATATAAGTCATCCATATTATAACTGGTTTATAAAAAAATTTAATTCAATTATTTTGCATATATATATATTTTTATTTATTTAATTGAATTACATTATAAAATTAACAATAATCAAATATAAGTATATTTAAATAGTATAAATTTAAACAAAAGACTGTTTTAATATATTATAATTTCAACATTGTGAAATTTACTATTATACAATTAATATTATAATTTTAGTTTTTACTGTTTAAAAAAAAAAAAAAAAATAAATAACTAGGTACATTAGAATAAAAACAAAATAACAAGCTTAAAAGTGTTTTCCAATGCAAAAAAAGAACATATATTATTAAATTAATTACTAAGTAGTAATTTAAACTGAATATTAGGAAAATAGACTGAAAATTGAAAATAATAATAGGTGAACATATGAATCAACTCTGTTACTTTTCGCTATAATAATAGTCATAGAAATAAATTAATTTTTACATGGAAATATAAAAAACTATAAATTACTAAGAAGATTAAATAATAAATAATAAATAAATGCTTAGGTTTACTATTTTTTATTATTTTGTTATTAAATAATTGTTACATATTACATTGAAAATTAATTCATATTTAAAAAAGTATCATATATTTTAATTTAAACTTTGATATAATATATGATAAATATATTAATGTAATTTTGGATATGCTTCTGTAATTAATTGCAATTATATTTTATTGAATAATGTATTTAAGAATGTTATCTATATATTTTATACTATGGTTTTTTAGTTACGTTATTGATGAATGATCATTGAATTCAATTTGCTGAATTAAAATTTTGTAGTTTAACATGGAGTACATTTTGGTGTGTTGAATGGTGTGATATGAAAATAAATGTTAGTTGCATATGAAGAATAGATGTTTAATTTTGTACATGATTATTTCATTTGATTGGTCCTATTTTTACAAATGTAATGTATTACATTATAATTGTCCATGTATAATTATATTGAAATTAATTTCTTTCATATTTAATATTTTGAGTATTTATCATAGACTTTAATTACTTCGTGCATTTATATTTATGTATTAAATAATTTATATAAATATTTTTTTTTCTTGCAGCTAAAATTTAATTGATTAAAAATATAAAAATAATTTTATTGGTTTTATTTTAAAATAAAATAGTTGGTAAATAAAAAAGTATTGGAATGAAAGTCAAGGTAAATCATTTTTGTATTGACTACTGATAAAAAAAATATATAATTTTATTGGTAATAACATGTAAATTATTACCTTACTGGCATTGAAATATTTTTAAACTTGCATTGTTTATAGGTGCAGGGGTGTAGCCAAGTACACCCCTAATAAATTGATAAATTCTAAGAAAACATATAAAATATGTCTATACTCCTTACCTAATAAATATGAATGCAAAAAGTCAACATGTGAATATAACCTATGGATGTTTCTAGTATACGCAGCGGTGTTCCTATGGGGCAGGGATGGGCAACTTAAAGTTACTAGAGGGCCAATTTTTATAAAATTAAAATCTAGCGGGCCAGAGTATAGAAAACAAAAAAAATATGTATTTTAGAATTTTTTATTTGTATATATATACACGGAAATAATAAATTCAACAAACACGATAGCACGAATGATACGAAAAAACTGATATAGTTATTAGTTCGGTACAAACAGTGGCGTAGCCAAGGGGGGGGGGCTAAGGGGCTATAGCCTCCCCCATGGGCCGTGTTTATATGTATAATGTTTCTTGACTATTTAATAGAATCAACGCTCGTTTTAATCAAAGGCATATTGATGTTATGCCACTTGAAGGACTTATTCCGGCCAATTTAAATATGTATGATGATAAAAATATTATAAAAGCTGCTAAAATATATGTTCAAGATCTCCATGATGATACCTTATCTACAATCAGAGCTGACCTGTTCATATGGAGGCAACAATGGAGTCAAAATACTATTCTAAAACCGAATTCTGCTCTTGATTCACTCTCTCATCGCACCAATCTTCGACCTAATATTAAAATACTTTTACAATTATTCGCCACGTTACCAGTTACCTCTTTCACTCCGGAAAGAACGTTTTCAGCACTTAATCGCTTAAAAATTTTTTTAAAAAGCATCATGTCGGAAAACTGACTGAATTGGTTAGCTATGGCTAATATAAATAAAAAAGAGCAATTCGATGAAAGTGAAATAATAACTGAATTTGCCAGAAATTCGCCTAAGAGAATGCAGCTGTCAGAGTGGAGCAAGTGACTGAACACTGAAACCAAAATTATTATTATTGTTATAAATTACTAGCTGACCCGACAAACGTTGTTTTGTCATATAAATTATTTCTAGAGAATATTTTGCTAGAAAAAAATAACTAATTAAATATAGGCATGTAAGAATGTGGGTAAGGATAAGGATGTAAGGAATATATATGGAGTGCTATGAATGGTGACGAAATATAAAAATGAATAAACATCAAACATTTATTTTTTTAATAATTTATTAAAATTGATCCATTAAAATTATATATATCACTAATTATGACAATATTAGTAAAAAACAATATGTATCCCTTAATGCAACAGAGTGTATAATATTTTTTGTTATCCCATCTTTCGCCAACACAAACTGGATGGCTCGAGAGCACACCACGTATAATTATCCGTGTGAAAAATATGATGTGCTCAAATCTAAGCTACAGACATTGTTTGGCTTTGAAACTTATTGATAGTCATTGCAAATGCCAATCTAATTGGAAATTGAACGCGTTTAAATTGTTTTGGCACATCTGTGGGTATAATAGAGATTCGCAGTAATTATATATTTTCATCTCGGAATTTGCCATTAAAAATTATGGCTTCGATAACATTTTTCATTAATTTTTTAACAACTTATCGCGTGCCGTTGTTCAACCGTGGTAGGTCAAATTATGAAGCAAAATAACCGGAGAACAAACCTTCAATTGTAAATTATGCGGTGGCATGCCTGGTTAGGTAGCATAGCAAACTATATCTATAGATTTGTATTACACCATGTCTTCTGGTAATAAATGTTTATCTTGAGATTAAATTCGTTGACATCCACATTTTTTACTACTAAAATTCCTCTTTCTGCCAGTCACTCATGATTTGTGTATTGTCTGTGTACATTGGAAAATATCTAGTCAATGAGAGCATCTTGCGAATAAATGATTGTGCAGAAATCGGTCGGTAATTTTTTACATTCCGTTTCATCTGTAGTAACTTTCCCATCTTCAATATCTAACAATTGTTTTGAGAATCTTCTACACGCAGCTTTTTTTGATTAAATCGTAAGTATCAAAATCGTTCGCTCTCTATCTTTACATACATTTCGACCATGAATTGTTGACGAAGCTCATGATATCGTAGAATAATTTTGTCCTGATCGCGTTTAATCATCAACTGATATGCATAATAATTTTTCGAACTAACATTCTTATTTGTTTTGACACCTGTTGCGGGATCATTTTTTGTTTAATATTTATGCAATACCCGTCATTTAATACCAAAAATAAAATTAATAGTTTTTTAATAGTTTTATTTAATAATTCATTTTAAATTGTGCAGTTATCGACCGGGTCAAAAATTATTAAATTAAACTATGATTTATTAAACAATAGCACTTTTTCAAAAAAATTTTTCGTAAAAACCTTCTCCTGGCAATTACAAACAATTAAAAAAAATTTGAGCTAAATTGGCCCAGCCGTTCTCAATTGATGAAATGTTATACATTTTTGGCTCCATTTATATATATATAAATAACTAATAACTAATTATTTATTAACTTTATCGGACTAAATTTACGCCTAAAACCTTCTCTGTGATGTCCTCTTTAATTTAAAAAAAACTGCATGACGATCCAATAAGTAGTTTCAGAGTTTATCCAGAACAAAAAAAAAGCGACTTAATTTTATATAATAGTATAGATAGATATAGAGATATATTAATAAATATTTTTAAAACTATACTAAAATGCTTGAATTACGTTTAGAAATTTGGTGATAGATGGTGGGGGGGGGGGTTAAGGGTGAATTATCATATCCTCTCTTACCTTACTTATCCAAAAAAAGTGGTTAGCCCCCCCCATTTAAAAATCCTAGCTACGCCACTGGGTACAAACAGCTATGGTTGAAAGCTATACTTACATATAAGATGTGTTCACGCTAAGAGGTACCACTAAATATTTCGGTTCGATTACCTTGTATTGAAATGGGGTTTTCACTGAATAACAAATAAACATACTTAAATACATATTTTTGGATAAATTTTAAATGTTTAACACTTTCGATTCGCGCATGCGCGATACAACTTACTTTTTTTTTAAATTGTAACACAAATTTTTTTCCAATTATACAATTTGCATATGAAATTTGACGATGAACTTTAATATTTACAAATATTTAATTTTTTTTTTTTGACGAAATTTTAATTAAATTCAACTTATTGTCACTTATTACTATCTAATATTGTTAAATATCTGTTTGCACCCAGAAAAGATATAAATAAACACTTTTTTATCGTAATTTACCCTCAATTTTTTTCATTCATTATTCTGAAATAAGATAGGTAATGAAAACTATAAAATTGTACACACTTAGAATTTGGAATCAAGTTTTATTTTCTTGCAATTAATTTCTACAGTCATATCTAATAAATTGTTCGAAGTTTCCACATTGATGTTCCAAATATGATTCTAAACGTTTTATAAATTCCGTTGATGTGGCAGCGTTTATTTGTTCTTCTCTCAAATTATTACAAATCAGTCGTATTTTGTTTTTTTAAATCTTTGAGATTAATAGGTGGGTCCGCAAATACAACATTTTTTAAATGCCTTCATAAAAAAAAAATCCAATAGGGTCAAATTTGGAGATCATACTGGTTATGGAATTACTCCATGGTAACCAATCCATCGGTTAGAAAAAATGTCATTTAAATATTGTTTAACTATGATGGCGTTGTGTGCTGGTGCACCGTTTTGTTGAAAATACATATTTTTTCGCGTGGCTAATGGAACATTTTTTAACAGTAATGGAATTGATAAACAAGAAAATCTAGATATTTTTACCTGTAAGAGTTCTGTCGTAAAAATAAGGACCTATAAGTACTCCACCAATTAATCCAGATCACACATTTATACCTCAAACTGTCTGAAAGTTAGTTTCTCGGGACCAGCGTGGATTTGTATCGTCTCAAAACCTATTGTTTTGTTTGTTCATTATACGATTGTTTGTGAATTTAGATTCATCAGTCCACAATATATTATTACAAAATAAATTGTCGATTTAAAATTTAACGCTAAACCATGACAAAAATTGTAATTGTCACAAGACTAGTTTGAAATTATTCAAACAATTATTACTAGTCAACAAAAATAATTTATCAACATTTATCAATATTTTAATGCTAACTAACTTTAATACTTTAATAATAACTAACTGATAAGATAAGATATACGGCAATAATCATACTATCACTTTTTATTGCGGTAACCGCACGTCACCCAGATACCTAAGACGACATTCGTAGTGAAATATCACTTTAGTTAGTTTTTAGTTGCCATTCTTTTACCAACTATGGAGGTTTATTACAAAAAAAAGGCAAATTTTGCTTACTTGATGCACAAAAAATATGTACGTACGTATGATAGACGTTACTGGGTGCACCCATTTACAGATTCAAGATTATTAAGAGGTGAATTTTATACTACATTTAGTGATATAAGAGAAAATCCAGAAAAGTTTTTTACTTATTTTCGAATGAGTGTTCGCTCGTTTGACGAACTAGCAACAAAAGTATCGTCAAAGCTAATCTCTCAAGACACGTGTATGAGACTCTCTATACCACCACTAGAAAAAAATTCTGACAGATGCTTATCCAAGCACAGCTTTTTTTGGTCCTATCGTGATAATTTTCATCAACGATGTTCCAAATTTCTTTATGACTTGATTTTACCGATCAATAACTCAATGACAACATCGTCGATTTCGGACATCTTGCGTGGAAAAATCGGACGTGTGCATGAGTCGATATACAACAATGTACTGCTGAACCGGATTTGCGTGCGCGGTGCCGTTGCGGCGACGTTGTTATCTGCGGCAGACACCGAACGCAGCGGCGAAAAACGCACGTGTACATCGGGCCTTAAAGTAAGAAATTTTAATTGTACCGGTCACATTACATTCGATAAATTCGGCCGGATGAAAACCAAATATTTTGTTTTCTCGACTGACTCGATTGAATACTTATTATACTTAAGTATATTCAATACTATACTATTTATATCGACGGGGATCTATATTATTACGGTAACCTTTATACAGGGGTGTCATTGGGGGGGGGGACTATTGCAAATGCCCCACTCTAAGAAATTTTAAAAAGTCGGCAATTCTTTTTCACATGATTAAATGCTAAAATCGGTATTAGTAAAATTTTATTTACTATTTTGTACTCAGAAATCAGATAATAAGATCTTTTAATACACGTTCATGGTTTATTAAAAGTTGGGAAATAATGGTTCCTCCCAAGTTTATGACAATCGTTATTACGCGAACCTTATAAACTTTATTTTTGGTATATTATATATTTCTATATATGTGATTTTTTATAAAACAGTTTTCGTGATATTGATACCATACAAATTGAGTTCATAATCTATAAAAAACCGTTAAAATCGTTCATATTCATCCCAAACTACGGTACATTATATTTAAGATACAATTTTATGTTTTTATAAATAAGTTCAGTAAAGTATTAAATATACAAATAATAAAATTATAAGTATTTATTTGATTAGATTTATATTATTATTCCATTAAATCCATTGATGGGTAACTTATAGCCCCACTCTCTCTTATAGTAGACACCTCCTTTTTTTCATTCCTATCGACTTCGGGTTATTTCACTCCCGATTCAAATCTTATCCATAACTCTATCCGTGTCATCAACTCCATCATTAATTTTATTTTCGTTGGCTTCTTAATTTGATTTGTATGTTTTTTATAAATTTGTATCTTTTCACCGCATAATTGTATTGCTGTAATGTTCCCCAACAATAGCAAATCGAAAAAAAAAAGTAACTTATAGTCTACCTATAGGATAAGTAAATAAAGTTGTATATACTATCTTTAATGTTATTATTTAATTGGGTAAATTGAAACGTTTCATGTTCAGTAGCGGTGCGTGAATAAAATTTACGGGGAGACTTAACTTTTGTGTAACTATGGGTTTTTATTGAATTTTCGTTGGAAAATGATTCTACTTCATTCTAAGTTATTAATTTAAACTAGGTACTGAAAAATTGATTTTTTATAGTTTATTGTAACCAATAATTATTATGATGGGTATATATATATTAGGTATATAGAAATTCAATGCAAATTTTAATTAATTAATATTTATTTTATAGATACAATTAAAACTGATTAAATAACATTATAACAAACGAATATAAATATTAATATTATAACCATAAAATATTTAAATAAATTTTAGCTATATTTTTTTATAAATAAGTTCAAACCTTCGTTCTTTTTTTCGGCGAATTCATTTATTACATCTTTAACAAACGTAGGAACTTTTACCATAACTCCAAGTAGTTGTTTTTCGATCGCTAATGTTGATAAACAAGAAAGCCGCTCATTTGTCATAGTGTTTCTGGAAAATGATTTTACGCGTTTTAACGTACTCATTGATCGTTCACTGGATGCCGTAGTAGCAAGTATAGTTAAAATCATCTGGCATAGTTTGGTATACTGAGAATATATTTCTTGTAAATCATCTGAAACCAAAAATTAAAAATTAATTTAACTTATTTTCAATCATACATTTCAATTTTTAACTTTTAAAAAAATATTCCAATATTTCACGAGGAGGTATATGTTTTTCTGTGTCTGAGTAGATTACTTGCAATTCATTACGCAAACGATGTTCATCAAAATAATTTGCTTATTGTTTTAGTAACTTCAGAAATTTGGCTTCAGGAAAATTGTTTGAATAAGATTTGAATATTTTTTCATTCGTTAACTCAACAAACTCAAAATTTGAAAAATCCTTAAATCTGATGTCAATTTGAATAGTTAAAGAATTCAATACTGCATACGATATTTTACGAAGAGTTGCTTTTAGTTTACAATCATTAATCAATGTATCATTCAATTTGTTTGCTTCTTCACAACAATCAACCACGATTTCTTCATTTCTTAATCTTGACAAATTATTTCTTAACTTTTGAACTTCATTAAAACATCCACTTATATCAGACATAATTTTAGATTGTAAAAAATTAAATACATGGTCAGTATAAATAAATATTTTACTAAAAAATATTAATAAATAAACAAATTTAACATCATTTAATTTATCTAATAATTCAGATGCAGTGGTGATTGAAATTGGGTCCCTATTTGATTCTTCCGTCACGTGTTTTACCGCGTTTTTTAGTTCTTGAAAATGAATTTTAATTGTTGAAGCGGCTCTGGAATGATAATTCCATTTTGTATAACTATGATTTGATAGTTTAAATCCTTGTTCTCTAAAAAGCTCACTTTTTTTTGTTGATCGACTAAAAAATGTATGAAACATTGTTAAATTGCATATGAACATTTTGACTGGTTGTATCGTTTTTGCACCATGTAGCAATACTAAATTTAATTAATGGGCATAGCAATGAATAAATAACGCACTAGGATATATTTGTCTTATTATATTTTGAACACAATTTTTTCCTCCAGCCATTACTGAAGCTCCATCATAAGTTTGACTTACGATTTTATTTCTTACTTCCCATTTTATAATTCCAACATTTATCACTTCTGCTAAGCCCGATCCAGTTTTGTCTTTAGAAACATCAAAAAATCCAACAAATCTTTCTATATTATTTTGATCTATAAAAAATCGAAATATTATGCTCATTTGTGATCGACATGAAACATCAGTAGTTTCATCTGCTTGTACATGCACAAAACTTGCAGATTTAATTTCTTTTAAAATTTTAGAATTCAAAACTTTAGTTACACATTGTATTAATTCATTTTGAATGGTATTTGATGTGACTTTAAAAATTGACTAGGATATGAAATGCTCTTTAAGAAATTGTTCTTCTTGGGAGAGTAAATAGTAAAGTAGCTCCATATAATTACCTCTATTTAATGATTTAGTATTATCTCGATGACGTCGGAAAGCGAGTTCTTGTTTCCCCAAATAGCAAACTACATGAATCATTCGAGCTAATATTCGTCTGTTAACACCAACTTGTTCATTATGTTTTTGCGCTGCTAGTCGCCGACCTTTTGAAATGGCATGTTCAATACGAATTTTTCCCAGAAGATGAAATTGTTCTTGATTTTTCAAGTGTGTTTTCGAAATAGCATGTTTTTCTGCTTTTCTTATAATATTTTTTATAGTAGATATTCCATCAAAACTCCATTCTTTTTCACCTCGAAAAAATACACAAATGAAACAAAAAAGTTTGTTGCGTTTATTACAACCACTAAGCCACGTAAATTTATCATACCAACTACTTTGAAATTTACGAGTATGAACTAGTTCACTGAACGATACACGGCTTATGTAATGTATATCTCGTAGTTCTGTTTAATTGGGAATGGGAAATTGGGAACTTGAAGTTTCGTTCAGTTAGATATAGTAGTTCGTTCGTTCATCATTCACTGAACGATACACGGATTGACTGAATTAGAGGTGTGTCGTTCGCGAACGAACGAGTCGTCGTTCGTCCGATTTAATTATTCTTATCGTTCGTTCGTTCATCGTTCGTTCATCAACCAATCGTTCATTGAACTAGGTCGTTCATGAACGACACATCCCTAATACGTATTCACTGAATCACACCACGATGGACATAATATATTATGTACACACATACATATACATAGTAAATATAGTTTTCAACAGTATATTATTTACACATAGATTACACAAATACTTGAAAATAATTTTAAAAATTTTAAATAATTTTTTTTTTCAATGTTATAACTATTGGGGAGACGTTGTCTCAAAGTTTCCCCACTGTTCATGTTCTTGTTTATCATCATGATTTTGACATCATTATTCATTACTAATCTAAACATGTTTTGTTCCGAAAAAATATCTTATTGATAGTCTATCGTCCATAAATATTAAATTTTTAAATATATAAGTAACCATAATTTTTTAAATATTGTGAAGTCGGCAAATTTAATCAGTTGTCCCACCCTTTCAAAAGTTGAAATGACGCACCTGCCTTTATCCTATTTTAGGTACCTTTATCCATCCTTATTACGAATTCATTAGATAGTAAGATACTTTGCTAGTATTCTGTGCTTATATTAATATATTAATATTACCTAACTATTTTTAGACATTGAGACCAATACACTTGTCCTTTTTCGCTCAGAATCATTTTTCGATGCCAGGTTAGGATAGGCCAGCATTTCAAATGTTCGTTATATACATATGTTTGAATGCACCTACATTGAATTTTAAATTTTTATGCACCGTTCCCGTTACGTTTTAGTAATTTGATATTGTATTTCGCATAGTTGCATATGATGGACTTCTGCTGTAATTCATTATTTAACGGCTAATGAGTTTTGACCATTTACTCACACAATAAATTTCACCGATATTATGGGGTACATATTAAATTGGTTATGGGCTAAGTTGCGGCTAGGTTAGGTTAGGTGTCATTTTCGATATGGAGACCACTAACTTCGGCCCGATTATATTTTAGCTGTAGGTGAGTTGTAACTTGAAATAATTATTACCAACAGTGGCGTATTTACGGGGGGAGGGGTACAGGGGTAATGGACCCCCCCCCAGAACCTCTTTATGGACACGTGTTGATCGTCGATCCCTCCTAGAACTGAACTATTATACAAACAACATCAAGCACACGTTTCACACCAAAATTTATAATTATATATTTTTTTTTGTAATTTTTAAGTTAATTTTTGTATTAATTATTTTTATTTGTATTATATAATTTAATATTTTGAAAAAAATCATTTTATGTTTTTTTTATAAAAAAAAGTTGTCGCGGCACACCTTTCAAATTTCACGGCACACCCTTTGGGAAACACTGTTATAGAGGTTTAAAAATATCTGCCTTACAATTATTTTAAACTTTCAAATTACTTTAAATTTATCACTTCAAATGGTACAGCAAATCATTTAATAAATTTAATTATTTTTCATTAGCATAATGATTAATAAGTACTAAGTAAATACTAACTACTGATATGTTAAAGAAATATATATAAAAAAGTTGCTGACAATTTCATATTAAAATGATTGCCCTTAGTATAACTGTATTTTTGTAAGTAAATCGAATTTTTAAAATTATTTCTTTTACAAATTAATTTTAAATACTGCATTTGATATTAAAAACAGAAAAGTTGTAATGTATAATTGCAGAGATGAATATTTTACTTGTATATTTTAGCTAGTTTTTATACTACAGATAAACAGTGGCGTAGACTGCAGCCTTAGACCGATAACATATATTAATATAATAATATTATAATTATATATTAACAATAGAAGCAAAATACATTTTTTTAAATTTTAAAAAAAAAAACTTATACAATGTAGATTTTAATATATATTAATATCAATATTTATATATATTTTTTTTTAATACAAATTAAAAATTAAAATTTTATAAAAGTTGCAAGTATTATTGTTTGTAAGCAGAATATTTAATATAAGTATTATTAGGTACCTATTACACAAACCACAAAAAATAATTATGTTAAAATGGTAATTTTATGACTTTTTTACAGAAATTAAATTTATAACTTTTTATGATGTATTCATATTTATCTTTGCTTCAAAAATATATGTCAAGTTGAACTAAGTAAAATTGTACTGCTGTTAAGCTAAAAATGATACTGTTTAAGGTCTTACACATTATCAATGTCTATAGTGACCATAACTATACAATTTTTAAAACCATAAATATTATTTCAATTAGTATACTTACGATTTTAAGTTTTATTTTATATAAAACTTAAAAAAAAAAAATTTATTTTATAGCTTTATTTTATTTTTAATTAGTTTACTTACGATTTTCTTATAATATTGGAATTACCATTTACTAAAGATATTTATTTATAATATTATTGCTGAATATATATTACTGTTTTTTTGTTTTAATACTAATTAAGGGTAACATTTCGCTAGGTTTATATCTGTATACGATTTCGGCAATATATTCACTATAAAAGTTACAACCTAAATTTTTCAAATTTTACCGCCCATCTAATATATGGTGAAGTGACTTGTTATTGATAATGATGTAGTTTTAGCTGAAATAATATAAATTGATTATGCTATTGATGAATTTGCTTCTTAGCTTGAATTTGACACTACGGACATTTATGTCAGTATCAAATTCCTCATTATATTCATAAACTAATTATACTCCATCATATTATAGACTATGGCACCTTCAGTCTCTCATATTACTAATACATCGAACCATATAAAACGCAACAAGTGTAATAATTTATTATTATGATGTGCAATTAGAAACGCCAGATTATTACTGTCAACACTACTAAATTAACACATTAAAGTAGTTTTAGCTGTGGCGTATATAGGAGGTCTATTAGACTGCACTCCCCCCACCCGAAATAGAAATAATGTTCACAAAATTTCTTATTCCTTTATAGAAATTGTTAAATATATAGTAGCCTCTAGGTGCCAAATCATTTGCTAGTTTCTATCTAGTCCTCCCAAAAATTATTTCTATACATGTGACATATGTGCACACTGAGTTTTAGAAATGGCAAATAATAACCAAACATTAAGATGTCAGTAGCTGATACTTTTCTCTATAACTGGTTCAGTGTTAATAAAAAACATATAAATGTAGACCTTAGATAAAATAATATATGTATTCAATTCAAATTGACCCAAGTATAAGTAGTAAATATTTGTTTAGTAATTGTAGGATGTTATATCAGCAATCAGCATATAAACTAACGGTTGATGCACAAAAGAGAGTATTATCTTTTTAAATCAAAAAAAAAATCTGCCCTGTAATTATATTATTTACTATAATAATTTGTAAAATAACAATAAATGTCAAAAATGTATGTATAGTTATAAGGAAAATGAAACATTTGCACACGGCCCACTCGAAAAAAAGGCCGACATACGGTAGGTAAATAAAATTAGTTGCATACTTTTATCAAATTTTAAAATAATAAAATTGTAACGGATTTTTTCAAAAACAGAATAGAATAAAAAATAAAATTAATTATATTTTTTTTTGTCCTCATCTTATAAACTCACCGCTAACTATTAAATCATCTTCACAAACACGGTGGTAAATATATAGTAACTAAAGGCTTACAATTATATTATGCTCATATTATATCTAATTTGTTTAAAATAACTCCAGTTAAAAATGAAATTATTACACGAATTTATGCAACAAACAGTTGCAAACAATTAAATCCAAGAACTAAGTTTATGAGTCATATTAATTTTAAAATTTATAATTAATATTTGATTCAATTGAAGTAAAAATAGCATTTAGATTTTTTTTATAAATAATTCTAATATAAATTATATTAACGACCACCAAATCAATATATCCAAACGAATTAGATCTGTATTCTGATGATTTTCCAAAAGAATGGTTCAAATTATATAGTTTAATTTATTCTTATCAAGTATCAAAACATTTTGCTGGCCAACATAAATTCATTAAAGATATGCGAGACATGCATTTCAAAATTTGTAAACATCTCTAAGCAATTATCTTACACAGCTCATTATAAACTGCTTTAATGAAAAATCATTTTCATTATTGAAAATAATAAATAACAGATTACGATATACATAGGGCCAAGAAAATTTAAATGCTCTAGGAATATTATATATAAGAAAAAAAAAATTTTAATTTTTAATTTATACCTATATAAATATAATAATAAATATTAGCTAGACTAACTAAAAAATTATGTTCTTGTAAGTTTATTAAATATTTGTATTTTAACAGTACAATTTTATTTTATGATTAATTCAACTACATTTAAGACACAAATAATACATAACATTATTTAAAAAAGAAATTATGCTTACTTTTTATTTTAGAACTAAAAATTTTGAGAAAGACGATTTGGGGCCCGAAATTATAAATTTTACTGGATCCATGAATTATTAAATCAGTAACTAATTACAGCTATTTCAATCCCTGTAGCTTTACCTTTATTTGGTCTTTTAAATAGATGTACATTAAATTTTCGTGATTTTCATAAAATAATCGATATGCATATATAGCGTGATTTTACCACAAATTGAATTGAACAAATAAAATGGTGAGCTTAATACGTTACATTGCAAAAAAAAAAACTATCATTGATTTATGTAAAGAACCATCTCATTCAGTCAAAGGCGTATTTATGGGAGGCTCCAAATAAAAAACATT